GTAAATTTCACAATACATTTACAATTGTAGTATAACGACAATTCAAAATGTTTTTTTTATAGTTTATATACAACAAACACACATACTAAGTTTCCAAATCGTTGTATTTAAAAAGTAAAAAGTCCTTGAGAAGGATTTATGTTGAAAACTCTATATAAATTTAAGTTTTTTTATGGCAAAATCTTAACAACACTTAAATTTGGATATATATTTACAAGTTCAGTTGTAGTTCAGTTCTAGTTCAGTTCCAGTTCAGTTCTAGTTCAGTTCTAGTTCAGTTCTTGTCAGTTCTAGTTCAGTTCTAGTTCAGTTCTAGTTCAGTTTCCAGTTCAGTTCTTGTTCAGTTCTAGTTCAGTTCTAGGTAGTCAGTTCTAGTTCAGTCAGTTCTAGTTCAGTCTAGTCAGTAGTTCAGTTCTAGTTCAGTTCTAGTTCAGTTCTAGTTCGTCTAGTAGTTCAGTTCTAGTTCAGTTCTAGTTCAGTTCTAGTTCAGTTCTAGTTCAGTTCTAGTTCAGTTCTAGTTCAGTTCTAGTTCAGTTCTAGTTCAGTTCTAGTTCAGTTCTAGTTCATTCTAGTCAGTTCTAGTTCAGTTCTAGTTCAGTTCTAGTTCAGTTCTAGTTCAGTTCTAGTTCAGTTCTAGTTCAGTTCTAGTTCAGTTCTAGTTCAGTTCTAGTTCAGTTCTAGTTCAGTTCTAGTCAGTTCTAGTTCAGTTCTAGTTCAGTTCTAGTTCAGTTCTAGTTCAGTTCTAGTTCAGTTCTAGTTCAGTTCTAGTTCAGTTCTAGTTCAGTTCTAGTTCAGTTCTAGTTCAGTTCTAGTTCAGTTCTAGTTCAGTTCTAGTTCAGTTCTAGTTCAGCCAGTTCTAGTTCAGTTCTAGTTCAGTTCTAGTTCAGTTCTAGTTCAGTTCTAGTTCAGTTCTAGTTCAGTTCTAGTTCAGTTCTAGTTCAGTTCTAGTTCAGTTCTAGTTCAGTTCTAGTTCAGTTCTAGTTCAGTTCTAGTTCAGTTCTAGTTCAGTTCTAGTTCAGTTCTAGTTCAGTTCTAGTTCAGTTCTAGTTCAGTTCTAGTTCAGTTCTAGTTCAGTTCTAGTTCAGTTCTAGTTCAGTTCTAGTTCAGTTCTAGTTCAGTTCTAGTTCAGTTCTAGTTCAGTTCTAGTTCAGTTCTAGTTCAGTTCTAGTTCAGTTCTAGTTCAGTTCTAGTTCAGTTCTAGTTCAGTTCTAGTTCAGTTCTAGTTCAGTTCTAGTTCAGTTCTAGTTCAGTTCTAGTTCAGTTCTAGTTCAGTTCTAGTTCAGTTCTAGTTCAGTTCTAGTTCAGTTCTAGTTCAGTTCTAGTTCAGTTCTAGTTCAGTTCTAGTTCAGTTCTAGTTCAGTTCTAGTTCAGTTCTAGTTCAGTTCTAGTTCAGTTCTAGTTCAGTTCTAGTTCAGTTCTAGTTCAGTTCTAGTTCAGTTCTAGTTCAGTTCTAGTTCAGTTCTAGTTCAGTTCTAGTTCAGTTCTAGTTCAGTTCTAGTTCAGTTCTAGTTCAGTTCTAGTTCAGTTCTAGTTCAGTTCTAGTTCAGTTCTAGTTCAGTTCTAGTTCAGTTCTAGTTCAGTTCTAGTTCAGTTCTAGTTCAGTTCTAGTTCAGTTCTAGTTCAGTTCTAGTTCAGTTCTAGTTCAGTTCTAGTTCAGTTCTAGTTCAGTTCTAGTTCAGTTCTAGTTCAGTTCTAGTTCAGTTCTAGTTCAGTTCTAGTTCAGTTCTAGTTCAGTTCTAGTTCAGTTCTAGTTCAGTTCTAGTTCAGTTCTAGTTCAGTTCTAGTTCAGTTCTAGTTCAGTTCTAGTTCAGTTCTAGTTCAGTTCTAGTTCAGTTCTAGTTCAGTTCTAGTTCAGTTCTAGTCAGTTCTAGTTCAGTTCTAGTTCAATAGAGATTATAGGAACAAACTAATCGACGATCACTCCTCATTGATCTTCTTTTAACTGTATGTAAGTGCAGATACATTCGTGTTTTAAATCCATAATCTCAAATCCATAATTTCATATTCAGATTCCTCTAAAGATGTGTAACAAAGCTGGGTTATAGCTAAGAAACTAGAAAGGTACTCCAAAATGCCGGTTCACATACATACATAGGTAAAAGCGCCTACACCTTATGAACTCCCACTATAAAAAATATGTATTTTTTTGTCAAACAATAATTTTAATTTACTATACAACTACTCATAATTTACATGCAGCCACCAGATGAAATCAGAATATAATTTACATATTTTTGTAATACTCCACCTCTTGATAAAAAATAATCTGATAATGTTCAATTTCTTTTTTTTACCTTTTTTATTTTTTTAACATTTATGGCATATTGACTACAAATTGACAATATCGTGATAATTATATCTTGATATTTATACAGGCAAACAACATGCTCAAACTTGCATGGGCAGGAATAACATAATGTTAAATATGAAAAAGTTCAGATGAAAGAAAAAAGACAGAGAAAAGAGAAAAACACATAGCATATACGAGGACATGAAATTCACACTTATAAAAATTGCAATTATGTCACATGCATATACACATATGGACACTGACACATATACATAAACATTAGTAAGGACCAAGGAAATTCAAATTGGTTGCATCTCCTATAGAATGTAATCAAACGAAGAAAACATGTTTGTTAAATAAATGAGGTTCTCAAATAAGAGCAAATTTTTACACATAATACATTCCCGAGCCGGTCTAATATTTTCATACACATATGTAGTTGTTGTGCTTTTATAGTCCATACATTCTATACGAGCTGAAATTTCCTACGGCAAACGACAATGAAGTCATTTATTTACACACTACCATGAAGGCCAGGTCAATTTATTGTTGTATAAAGGTAATTTAATATTGTAACTCGTACCGTACCGTACTTTCTCATATCCATGTTGATGCAGTTTGATGTCATTGTTGCTTCTGGTATCGTTATGTTGCTACAATAACTACCACTATAAATTGTATAATGTTCGCAACAATTTTTCACGTTGTTAATAATTTTCAGCGTGTAATAAAGCAGCTAGCGAATTTTTATACTTATTCTATAGCAATTATTGAGATTGAAAGTGTAAACGAACGAGTTTTTGGATATATGGAAGAAGTACGGTAGGGGAAAGTATTATGCGGATTTTTAAATACAGAGTTGAGTCCTTTGTATATAAAATAGTTCATTGTGCAGAATATAGTCTAGTCCATAGTGTAGTCTATAGTCTAGTATACAGTCTAGTCCAAATTCTAGTCTGTAGTTTGGTCTATAAAACAGTAAATAGTCTAGTATATACTCTTGTCTAAATTCTAGTCTGAGTCTAGTCTGAGTCTAGTCTATAGTCTAGTCTATAGTCTAGACTGAAGTCTAGTTTGTAGTCTAGTCTATAGTCTAGTCTGTAGTCTAGTCTATAGTCTAGTCTATAGTCTAGTCTATAGTCTAGTCTATAGTCTAGTCTATAGTCTAGTCTATAGTCTAGTCTATAGTCTAGTCTATAGTCTAGTCTATAGTCTAGTCTATAGTCTAGTCTATAGTCTAGTCTATAGTCTAGTCTATAGTCTAGTCTATAGTCTAGTCTATAGTCAAGTCTATAGTCTAGTCTATAGTCTAGTCTATAGTCTAGTCTATAGTCTAGTCTATAGTCTAGTCTATAGTCTAGTCTATAGTCTAGTCTATAGTCTAGTCTATAGTCTAGTCTAGAGTCTAGTCTATAGTCTAGTCTATAGTCTAGTCTAGTCTATAGTCTAGTCTATAGTCTAGTCTAGTCTAGTCTAGTCTAGTCTAGTCTATAGTCTAGTCTATAGTCTAGTCTATAGTCTAGTCTATAGTCTAGTCTATAGTCTAGTCTAGTCTATAGTCTAGTCTATAGTCTAGTCTATATTCTAGTCTATAGTCTAGTCTATAGTCTAGTCTATAGTATAGTTTATAGTCTATTCTATAGTCTAGTCTATAGTCTACTCTATAGTCTAGTCTATAGTCTAGTCTATAGTCTAGTCTATAGTCTAGTCTATAGTCTAGTCTATAGTCTAGTCTATAGTCTAGTCTATAGTCTAGTCTATAGTCTAGTCTATAGTCTAGTCTATAGTCTAGTCTATAGTCTAGTCTATAGTCTAGTCTATAGTCTAGTCTATAGTCTAGTCTATAGTCTAGTCTATAGTCTAGTCTATAGTCTAGTCTATAGTCTAGTCTATAGTCTAGTCTATAGTCTAGTTCTATAGTCTAGTCTATAGTCTAGTCTATAGTCTGTCTATAGTCTAGTCTATAGCGAGTCTATAGTCGAGTCTATAGTCTAGTCTATAGTCTAGTCTATAGTCTAGTCTATAGTCTAGTCTATAGTCTAGTCTATAGTCTAGTCTATAGTCTAGTCTATAGTCTAGTCTATGTCTAGTCTATAGTCTAGTCTAGTCTGTCTATAGTCTAGTCTATAGTCTAGTCTATAGTCTAGTCTATAGTCTAGTCTATAGTCTAGTCTATAGTCTAATCTATAGTCTAGTCTATAGTCTAGTCTATAGTCTAGTCTATAGTCTAGTCTATAGTCTAGTCTATAGTCTAGTCTATAGTCTAGTCTATAGTCTAGTCTAAAGTGTAGTCTACAGTTTAGTCTATAGTGTAGTCTAGTATATATTCTAGTCTATAATCTTGTCTATACTCTAGTCTATAGTCTTGTACATAGTTTAGTCTATAGTATAGTCAATAGTCTAATCTATGGTTTATATTATAGTCTATATACCAGTCGATAGTCTTGTCTATTGCCTAGTTTTTAATATTGTCTAGCCTATATTCTAGTTCACAGTCTGCTCTGTACCAGACGTCTATTGTCTAGTTTATGATATAGTCTATTATGTAGTCTATAGTTTAGACGATATTTCAGCCTTTAGTTTAGTATAGAGTCTAGTCTATGGTGTAGTCTTTGGTCTAGTTTATTGTCCAGTTCAGTTTATCGCCTTGACTATAGCCTAATTTATTGCCTTAACTATAGTCGATAGTATTGGCTGCAGATAACTGAAA